TAACCAGTTGAAAATCCACAGCCGATGAGGCAGACTTTCTCCAGCGGTGAGGCTGCATCAATTTTGGCCACCGCATTCTCATCCACCACTGTGTACTGAGAGAAGGTGCTGACACCCACGAAGTGGTGGGCAGGCTTCCCTCTGCAGGTGAACCTGGTGGTGCCATCCTGCATGGTTCCACGAGGCTTGCCTAGACTGGTCAGTGGAACACACAGACACACAAGGGCATGAGACAAGAGTATAACTAATGTGTAAACTCATGGGCTGTACAAGGAGAATATTAGAAACTTACTCATTTTTCAAACACAAGTTGCTTTCTGGGTGTTTACAAATTCTACATTTTCCACACTGGGGACTAAAGAGTGGGATGACTTTATCACCTGGAACGATATAAAAGAAATTCATCTTAAATTTCTATCCAGGAATTCATAGAGCAAAAGCTGAAAGCTAACATATATACGTAAAATAGTGTGCCTTTAAAAAGTCCCCAGGACTTAAGGTCCAATTACAACTATGTCATTGGTCATTGCCTGCCAACATTGTTATCAGTTTATATGTGCCTGAAGAGTTCCAAAGACGAAATGCAAATGTGGAAAAGGTTATGGTTTTAAAAAATTATTTCCTTTATTAATAGTTAACTCTTATTGCTTGCCTTTGTTTCTCCTTGGGCCTTTACACACATAATCTCATTTAATCCTATATTAATTAAACCTTAAAAATTCTCAGTGTAAATATAAGTTTTGGTAGCAAGATGGATGCCACAATTCCACTTGATGTTGGGGAGAGCTGGTGTTTGGTAGTATTTCGGTTACAATGAAAATGAGAATTTTAATAACCAATATTTGGCTTTTCAAAGTGAATGGAAACTTTCTACTTATACACCATCAATCTGTAAAAATATCTATATTAACATACCGTATAATTAGGATAAATAAATACAGAAAATAAAATACGTAATAATTTGTAACCAGTCACATGTAACCACAGCTAAAGGTAATAGAACAGACATTGTTTATGGCCCGATGCTTTCTACTATGTTTCTTTCACTTCCTGCCATCTACTCTGTTTCATTGGTTCCATGTTCAAGAAATAAAGGCCATATTGGAAGAGAAAA